TGTCTTGTACCCGCACTTTAAAGAGGACATCAAAGCTGACATTGGTTTCAGTAAATACAGTATCGCTGTCGACGAGTCCACAGACCTAGCCGTCACAAAGTATTTGGCTGTGTCGGTCATTAACCACAGCACTCAAAGATCAGACATCGTGACAACATTCCTCTCGCCTTGCGTGCTAAATACCTGCAATGCAGATATGTTGTGAAAACTATAAAATGCACATTAAGAGAAAACAACTTTAAGCTGGACAACATAGTAGGTATTGGGACTGACAATGCAAGTGTCATGGTGGGGTGGAACCACGGAGTTTACAAGCAGCTCGAGGCTGATGTGCCACATCTCATCCTGATTCGATGCGTCTGCCAATCGCTGCAGCTGGCGACTTCAGCCGCTGTGGCAGAAGGGCTCCCAAGAAGCCTCGATTAGCTTGTTCGTGATGCATACAATTGGTTTGCCAGGTTCTTTTCTCGGCAGCAAGCATACAAGGAACTTTTCGGTATTCCGAACGATGGAGAAGAGCCCTTGAAAACTGTCCAAGCTTGTTCCACAAGATGGCTGTCTATTGCGGCAGCCGTTGAATGTGTGCTACACCAGTGGACCGAGCTAAAAGGTCACTTTCAAGTCGCAAGACTGGCAGAAAAGTGTTACAGAGCAGAAGTTCTGTATTCTATGTATTGTGACGAGATCAGCAAAACTTATTTGCTCTTTCTGAGACCAGTGCTTTCAGAGGTTCAAAAAGTTAATAAGTCTTTTGAAGCTCACAACACAGATCAAACAAAGCTTTTGGATGATCTTGTACATCTACTGTCATCACTCATAAAAAATGTGGTGATTCCAACTGCGTCAGTGAACGTACACACGATGATAGTGGAGGACTATTTGGATCCCAAGCCGTACTTGGGCTGCTCATTCGAGAAGCACGTTGATGACATGAAAAAAACTCGCTTAGCTACTGATGAAGAGGAGAACCTAAGCAAACGATGCACCAAGTTTATTCTTGCACTCATCGAGCAAATACGTCAAAGGCTGCCGGATAACATCGATATCCCCAGGAAAGTGTCTCAACTAGCAGTTGAAAAGGTTTTGTACGTGCTGAAGCCCTCGCTGGTGCCACTGTTGGAAAGAATGGGTATTCCGAGTACTAAAATTGACGCCATAGAAAGCCAATGGAGAAGCATCACGACTGTAGCGTGGAAGGACACGTCAACGACACAGAAGTTCTGGGGCGAAGTGTATAATTATCGAGACTCTTATGGTGAAAACCCGTTCGGGAAACTAGCAGATTTCGTCATCTCCATGCTAGTACTACCATACTCAAACGCTGAAGTTGAGCGATCCTTCAGCCAGATGAACTTGTTGACGACAAAACTCCACAAAGCAGGCTGTCCCCCAATACAGTTAACGCCATCATGGTCATCAGAGCTGGGCTGAAAAGAAACAAAAAGGAGTGCTTCGACTACGAGCTGCCAGAGAAAACAATCCGTCTCACTGGAACTCGGGATGTGTACAAAGTGGGTGTGAGTGAGCCTTCATCTTCAACAGGCGCTCCACACCAGCCACAGGGTCTGCTAGGCTAAGTGTGAGACTCTAGCCGAGAGTGTGATGATGACAATCTATTTACACTTTGACAGGCGCTCCACACCAGCCACAGGGTCTGCTAGGCTAAGTGTGAGACTCTAGCCGAGAGTGTGATGATGACGATCTATTTACACTTTGACAGGCGCTCCACACCAGCCACAGGGTCTGCTAGGCTAAGTGTGAGACTCTAGCCGAGAGTGTGATGATGACGATCTATTTACACTTTGAGACTTTTACGCTTTTGTGTCTGTGCTGAGAAACTGAGCGCCGCTGTCAGAGGGAGTTCTCCGTGAAGAAATGTGAAAATTCAGCGATATTTTGTGTTCCTACAAGTGTGTTAGTAAATTACGTTCGTTTTCAGCATTTCTGTGTTTATTTTGTATCTATGCTTTTTTTAGGGTCCTACGAAATGCTCATTAGGCTTTAGCGGATAACTTGATGGTTTTGTAAAAAAGTTGAGCGGATTCTAGCAGATTTTATTACCCATTTTGGTGAAATTCTTGCCAACTTAGATGACAACACTGGTAGAGACCCTTATCCTTTCAAGGCTGCACGTGCAGAGGGGGGAAAAAAAAAGAAAGCTGTTGGGGAGAGTCCTCCTTTCTCGGTGCAAAGTAAGCAGCCATTATACCAGCGAAGACGCAGGCGGTGGCACTGCACCGTGCTTCCTACCGGGCTGCAGAAATTAGGTGCCTTTTTCCTCTTCTAACCACTACCACCACCACCATTGTCGTCGTGAGAGGGAAATCGCTTTGCACCGCAGCGCCGGTTTTCAGTTATGTGACCTGCTGAGCGCTTCCTAAATCCTCTCCGCTGGCTGTGTGAGGAGGCCGGCTCTCTCGGCCGGGCATGGCGTGGCTGTAGGTCGGCGCAGGAGTTTTGAAAGAGCCGCGCCAATTGAGCGTCAAACTCCGTAGAAAACGCTATACTTAACACACTACAGTCGTTTTTTTTATAGACTATTTGATAGACTAGTTTAGTTCATTATATCTATTTACTGGTCAATTTTAGTTCATTACAACGATGTTTAAGATGCATGGTTCTCAATGGAGTTTTCAAGGGGAATTTCATTTACTTCGTTATATCTATTATTTTGTTATATCCTGTTACATTGTAGCGAGGTTTGAGTGTATTCAAAATTGTTTGCACTTCCTCTAAACCAAAAAGGATGGCATTTGTGCACACCTTGTTTCAATTTGAAAAAAGTACTGTGCATGTTTGTTGGGTCATGACAAATATGTGCATTTTCCCTAATGATATATGGTATCTACTATTTGAATTTGATTCTAAATTATTCTACCAAAATCACTATTTGCTTCGAACCTAAAATTTACTATTTGCACGGGCCTTGCATTAAAGGGACCCTAATTTTTTTCTTTTAGTTTTGTTAGCATTTAAGCTGGAGCATCATCAAACCATTCACACCACAAATTTAGTGACACTCAATGTACCAAAGCCGCTATGGACAATTAGTATATCATGCCCTCCTTCTCTCCTCTGCCTGGCCTCCTCAACTCATGAGGCATGCTGGCATTGCTGGCAATCGCAGAGCTTTCATGTGCGTGCTCGACGATTTGAGCTTTTGCCAGTCTAGACCTCTAAAGTGGCACACCGACAGGTTTATGCGCAGTCTTTGAGGCCATCACATAGTGCGTCCGGCAGCACGCGGGCCGTCTGGCAACAGGGATGAAAGTCACAGAGTGGTTCACATCTGCTCCGAGAGGTGCCGCCACCCTACCAGCCGATCTTACTTCTGTGCATTCCACAGCCCATGACAGCCAATCAGATCAGCAGCCACGGTGACACAGCTGCTGACGAGCTCTGGCCGTGTCAAGTGGCCAGAGCATCTTGCTCTGAATGGGCGGTAGAAAATGCGTTTGGTCGAGTTGCAACGACCTGCAGCGATTCACAGCTTTAAAGGGTTGTAATAAATCACACATTTTATGCAGAGAGATCAAATCAGTCTCTGAATAACCCTTGCATGTTGGTCTACCGGCCCATTGTGTTTTTGCAAAATCGCCGAAATTGTTTCAGGGTCCCTTTAACATAACAGTGTATTGTCTCCACAAAAATGCAGTCACTGTTATAAAGAATCACTCTTGGAGTTGCAACTAAATGAATTGAACACAAAGTAGGACCAGGGAAAGCATAGGGGCCATCACTTGTTGTCTTCAACCACGGTGTAGTTATAATGACCATATCTAAAATCATTTAAAGCGGATGAAAAATTCCCTTTTTCATTGGCGGGATTTGAAGGTTGTGTATTCTAGTCGTACTGACGGAAAGGGTTTTTTTTTTCATCCACTTTAATTTCAATATATGTTATATCTACAGTACAGTTAAAAATTACGCTGAATTGCCTTGATGCTTTGCTTGGCCTAATTGTCGGTTGGAATTATTTGCTGATGCCTTACTAAGAAATGAGCCCTTCAAAACATTCCCCTTTTTTTCTACACTTCAAGTTGTGCAGCACAAAAAAGAACTAAAAACCTAAATAACAATAGAAACAAACTTTTTTTCATTGTCACTTATATCCTTTCTTTTTTTTTTCATTTTGCATTACATCACTCTTCTAGTGTGAAACATCAACCAGCCCAACCGAAAGGTTAAAAGACAGCATCCAATCTAAGTAGTGGGGCATTTCTGAAAGATGCCAGCATGGTGTGATGCCACCTTTCTTTGACAAGAGAATATTTCGTGATATGTATTGCTGTGCTTTGAACTTATTTTGAGACCTGTAGCAACTTCAGTTTAGCTCACATCCACCGCAGTTGTGCTCGGTAGCTAGCCTGAAGGTCACAGTTTCGATACTGGCTGCAGCGGTTGCATTTGAGAGGAAAAAGAATGCTTGAGGCCTGTCTACTGTGCAATGTCAGAGCACGTCAAAGAAAACCAGGTAGTTAAAATTTCTGAAACCCTTCACTGCAGCGTGCCTTAATCAAATTGTGGTTTCAGTATCTAGCTGCCATCTTGTTCGGACTGCATACGTATTAGCCAGCATAGTTTTTGTCTTCCATGCTTTCTTCACAAAGGATAGGAATGAGACATAAGATGGCTTCTGTCCAATAACTGTCCACTTACTCTTCTGCAGGGAGTTTTAGAGCACTACCGAAGTCAGGAATCGAACCAATTGTGACACCACATTGACTGACAAAACTAAACAGGGTTGTAGTTATTTGGTGGCTCTTTGAAACAGTTCTTCTGTTTTAATATTGTGTACTTTGAATGTGTGGTAGTATACTTGAATGTTCACTCGGACACGTGCTGACTGAGATGTGCGTACTTAACTTCTATCTGCTTTGAATTTTCATTTTATGGTGCTTGCACCATTCACCCACCCTTACCCTTTAAGGGTGGGTGTCACTGCGCTACTAGATTGAAACGTGAGCGCTTTTCTTTGATCATCGTGACTGTGACTGCAGATCACCCGCAGCACCAGCTTCTACACGGCCACACCGGTCGTGTGACATGTCTGCTGTATCCCAACCACGTGCATTCGCGCTACGAGATTGCCCACCTCGTGTCGGGTGGTGTGGACTTCTCGGTCTGTCTGTGGGACTTGTATGCTGGCACCCTGTTGCACCGATTCTGCGTCCATGCGGGTGAAGTCACCCAGCTTCTTGTGCCTCCGAGCAACTGCAGTGTGAGTACCCCTCGGGTTTTTGCATTTCAGATTGTTGCGTGCAGTGCCCATCGCAGTGCATGCTTGTAGATAACTAGGGATGGGCAAATACAGTTGAACCCTTTTATGAGAGACATGCGTCGGGGAGCACTTCTTGTCTTTCATATAAGGTGTCTCTTATAAGCAGATTACGCACTTTCTTATCGACACCTGTTTCAATGTAGGCTCTCTGGTGTCTCTTATATCTAGTTGTCTGTTAAATCAGCGTCTGTTATAAATCCGTTTGACTGTAGTTGTAAGTTGGAGGTACGAAGCGATTTAAAGTGAATACGCAGTGATTTGGTCAAACAATATCTAATTAAATAGTTCAATATTATATATCGCATATAATTAAGAGAAGTTAGAATTTTTGTGACGACCCATCAAACATGCACAATGTTTTTAAGAATTGGAACTAAGCATGTGTAAATGTCAGTTTTTTGGTTCGAAGTGAAATAGAAGCAACCTTGAATAGTACCATATAGTACGTATAGCACTGGGGTAATAGTTATAGCTGGTAATGTGCATTATGTTCTGAAATTTACTGTTTAGCGCATATAAGATTTGGTACATCGCGTGTGTGCTATAGTGAAACCACCTTTACAGAGGAATTATATGTGCCTCAATACTATGCACTCGATCTCAGGTATGCAGAACTCGGATGTATCAAGTTATTCACTATTCTGAACAGTTGATAAATGCTCTTGAATTTTTCATTCAAAAGTATGGGACTATTGCACACATATATCGAACTCTCGCAGAGTGTAGCATCCGATATATTGAACGCTGTGCTGGGACGAATCCCAGAAAGTGCATTCATTCTGACAAAGATTGCTCATTTGTTGGGCTGCATTATAACAAGTTTCAATTTTTCCTCACGCATAGGTGACGAAAATTCAGTGTAATTTGTTTATTTGTTGGTTGCGCAGCATTTGTGAGTGCACCGGCACGTGATGCGCGATCTGTTGAAAGTTGTAACGCATAGACACACTGTTTTTAAAGGAGCCCATTGCCGAGGGCACCAAAATCACATGAATGCGAAGTGGCTCAGCGGCCTCGTCGCTATATGGGCATTCCCTTTCTTGTTTGCTCACGCATGATAGCATGCGGGCCCACAAAACATGGCCTCCGAGATCCACAACTTATTGGCTAATTAATTAGGTATCATTCGATTCGAATTCGAAACTGGAATATTTGTACACTGCTAGAATATATATAAATTATATGTGAAAAGTCATTGAAATAACAAGGGTGCACGTCATAGTTATTCAGAGTAGTAGTACAATATAGAAAACAAGACAATTCAGTGAATATATGGTCTATAATTTTTCATGCATTCTTATACGGTAGACAAACTATGAAACTTCTTGGTTTATTTTAGAAATAAAAAAGCTAAACAAAAAGTCACAGAAAGGGGATAAAAAATAGAATATAGCATAGAATTTATGTTACATGTAATATTGCTTACGCTGCTCGAATGTGAAGTACTATTTGTGTATGGCCTGCTCATGAAGATTTAGCCCTCCATAAATGAGACAGCATAACCTATCTTCACCATTGTTTGTACTGCTGAGATGCGCATCCCAACATTCAAAATGCCTAGCCACTCGCACTTTTTGTTTGAGCCAGGGTGCGTAGATGATGGGTGTCCTCCTCCATTTCATTTCGCTGTGACAAACTTAGATTAATATATGGAGGTTGTCTGAATGAATTAAGCCATACTTGTTATGTAGCGGCTCATCTGAATGATCGGGAGTATTTGTGACACAGGTAAATGAACAGAAGTTAACGTGGACAAAAACTAATTCCTTGCCAGTCTGAACCGAACCTGAAAACTTCGGATAAGGGCGTATTAGCCCAGCACTCTAGCTATTGATCTGCGACGACCACCACTGCGGCTAAATTGATACTATAGCAATGGCTGGGTATAGTGAAAATAATCTCCCACACACCTTTCTCAGCTTCACTGTCTGCTAGTTTTAATTAAATTGTGTTAAATATGACAAAAGTATTGCAAACTGCATTTGGACATATAGGACAAAATTGACAAAGTCTTTGTTTCTGGGCAGTAGATTCATCAACAAAATAATTTAATCACTAGTTTATCATTTTAACTAGTGTTTCTACCTTGAAATCATTGTTAATGTTTTACTTTGTTTTGATATTTGTCTTTGTTGCTGTTATATGTAGTAATAGATTGTTTTCTTCACATGTCACATTGCAGCAGCTGCCAAAAACATCAGCCACAGTACTTCATTTTTTGTTTCCTGTTTGAGAGAAACCCTACCACTCTTGAAGTAACGAACTGAAATTGCAGTTGACACTACATCCTCTAATTGGAAAGCAACATTTGGACAAGTATTATCTCATCTGGTAAAACTGTAGGACTTCAAACGAGGTGTTTCTCTGTATATGACGGCATCTAGCGTATTTTTGCTGTTCCTCTACAGGGTGTCAACAGCTCTAACTGCACTGTGCTGTAATTTTGTCACATTTGCAGACTCGAGTGCTGCAGAGCATCTGCAGTGTTGCCAGTGACCATTCGGTGGCGTTGGTCAGCCTGAAAGAGCGCAAGTGCATTATGCTCGCCTCTCGTCATCTGTTCCCTGTCGGCGTGGTGAAGTGGCGACCCTTCGACGACTTCATGGTGGTCGGTTGCTCGGACGGCTCGGTCTACGTCTGGCAGATGGAGACCGGTGGGGATGCGTGCGGAAGCACCTCGTTATCTTGAGATTGGGTGAACAAGAGTACTGTATATACTTGTTTAAAGAAAGACACGGCTTTCGTATCACGAAAAATGGCCAGAAAATCAGATTTTCGATTTCTGCAGTCCTTCTTCTATCCGAATTCGTAATGTCTCCACTAAAAACTGCCTAGAAGTGCTTTTAAATATTTGTTGCGCTTGCCAAAGTAAAAACAATTATCATGGAAATCATACAAATACGCCAATTTTCGAAAAATTCGTACCTCCGCAACAGTGCACCAGGGCACCATTGCTTTGGGCTCGTTGAAAAAAGCGTTTTTTTTTTTATGTTCATGTTCCCCGCCTTAGCTGGGGTCCTTACTCAAAAACAAGTGCGCAAAAAGCAAATGTTCAAAGCAGTCTGAACGTCGTCTTGAGGCTTCTGATTGGTCGCGTCTGCCATGTTGCTTCAGCACGCCTCGCCATTGGCCGAATCAGGAGAGCCCGTCTGCTGCCGTTGCTGCTGCTTGCGCCTTGGCTTGTTGCGAGGTCGTGGCTGTAGAAAATTACGCCATTTAGTAGTGACGCGTGCACACTCACTGTGTGTGCAATAATAGACGCTCATTTAGAATTGTGTTGTAGTTAGACTTGTCAGACTTCTGCAAGCGGAAGGTCAATCGCAAGGACGCGATAACATCACATTCGTCACGAACATCCCAGATGGGCATCTCGGACGAACTTGTCAGAACGGCGGTGACTGATAGGTTCTGCTTATCATCATTTCGGACTTGTTGACGAACACTACTGCGGAACCGCTATTTGTACTCGTGATCGAACAGGATGTTTTTGAAGCGTTGGGCATCGAGGCCGAGCTTACTGCTCGAAGTTGTGGCCAAGCCTAGGTAACTTTACTCGTGGCGCCGATACGAGATGAACCCAATCTTTGCAGGCTTAGACATTGTGCTATCGGACTAGCCACAGTGTTCTTCGTTGCAAGGAACTAAATTGAATCGCCCCATGGTGTCTTGAAGCTACGGTTGGGCATATTGCGCATCGGCTCGAACCGCCCGACCGAGCTCGTCGTGCAGTGGCTGCGCGTCAGTTCCCGAAATGCGAGATTGAACACGTTGCTCGCCGATTTGTTGTCGCTGAGCCTATGCATACCAGTATCGTATTTACTCACATAATGAAACCACCTTTTTTTTTTCCAGAAATGTTGAAGTCAATTAAGAGTAGGGTTTATTACACGGGAAAAAAAGGTCACAGGAGTTATAACAGGAAAAATTTTGCATGACAGTTTTGCTTGTTCTGGCCCACAAATGTGCGACAAATCTATTTGAAGCCTGAAGCTTTTGTTTTCTCCTGTAACGAATGCACACGGATCGATGCCGAAGTGTCGTTCAGCCGCTCAGTTCCCATGCTCCAGTGCATGCTCAATCAACTGTAAGTTTAAACAGACGTGTAGCTAGCGTATCGGTCGAACGGGCCCTGCGCAGCAGGTGTTCTCAACTGAGTTCACTACGGCAACCACGACATCAAAAACTCAGCGTCATATGGCGACGCGCTGTCGGTGCAGTAGGCACTTTGCATGGCGTCCGAGATGGCGAGCACGAGGCGTAGAAACTCACCACATGCCTGCTATCTCAGAGGCCATGCATTAGTTTGCTGCTTTGTTCTCAGGCCGTTGTGCTTGCGTAGCGCTATAAGTAAACAGGTTTCTCCTGCATTTGCCAGATGGCACTTTGCCGCAAAAGGCATGACTTTTAAATTTTTATTGACGTCGTTCGCATTCGCAATGCTCGCAACTCTTTAGCATGGTTGAAGAACTATGCTTCAACTTTTTATTGCATCGATATTTTTTTATATAATTGCTCAACGTTTAACATTGTTTCAATCGTCAACGGCACTGGGCAGCCCACTTAAATAAAGTGAACAGATACATTACAAAATTTTTTTTCTTTTTTCGAAAGACCGAGGTGGGGAATGGGTTCATTATGCGAGCGGGTTCATTACGTGAGTAAATACAGTTGATTGTGCCTCGTCATCGAATGCCACCACCTTGCATATCATGTGCCGACTTTCCGGACTCTGTAGCCGAGCATATCGAGGTGAAATAAAGCACTGATGATGCAATATTAGGACTGCTTGGAGCCGTGCTTGGTGTCGCCACGAATTCTTGTAAATCTTCTGAAATAATAGAAGCCTTGCAGATTACACTGTCTGGGACCGGGTAAATGGTGAGGTATATCACAGGCGAAGTTTACAAAACAAATGATCTTGAGTGAAGCAGGGAGATGAGTATATATCTGCCCACTTTGCGTCTTGAAAAACACATGTTGCGCTTTCTTGTGTTTGGTGAACGCATTCAAGGGGGGAATGTCATTAGGTGTGAATGTCATTCACTATGCCCATGTAGCTGCAACGAAAATGACATTAACACGTAAAGTCATTCGCAGTGAATGACATTACAGGTGCCGTGGGACAGGAATATAAGTGCCTCAGTTTTTGCTTTGCTGTTTCTGAAAAGCGTGCCCTTTTTGCAAATGGAGACTTTGCGGCTAGTGCAGTAACCTTTGTGCGCCTGGTGACTACAACAGAATCGTTCTGGTGAAAGCCCAAGGCATACGATTCCCCCCATCGGGAGAATAGCGTGCACACGCATGAGCCTCTACCTCCCTCCCCCCCCCTCCCCCACTACCACCACTTTCCGCGAGGCAAAATATGTGTGGGTGCGCATCGCCGTGCTGTGACAATCTGGCAATGCGCACTCACAGCGTCATCTCGCAAGTAATGCTGAAAACACAATAGTTCCGCAGAGATCGCCATTGCCAGTGGTAAGTGGTAAATAAGGATAGCTTGCCGTTTCAACGTTGATGGAAGTGCTCCTTCATGACTCAGTGGCTAAGGTTATGCACTCACAAGCAAGAGGTCAGACGTTCGATTCTATGCGCCGGAATCTTTTACTGAATTATTTTTTTTCTGGCGTTTTCATATGTATATATGTGTATACATATACAGTAAATGACAGATGCCAACAACGCCGATACCGGTGGCAAAATCCAGCCAAAAGTGTTTATATAATTTCTAAAAAAAGAGAACAAAGCCACAAATGAAAGACCACATGTGTAAGAGGCATAACATCATAAAACACACCGAAGCTGATATTGCTTTTGTGTTTTAGAGAAGCAAGGCACCTCAAACTGAAGGCAGCGCATTCAAGAGTTTGTACATTGCAAAAGACTTGAAAGATTATGACTTCTGTGCCTTTCAATGATGGAATATCGTTGGTACAACTTCAAATGTCGCTTTCCCAAAATGACTTTTTTTGGCTATTGAGGTTGCTTGTTTCAGCCATATTTCTGGAACCACTCATCTTATTTTCTTGTCTTTTTTTTATTATGTACGTGAATAAGTTTATGAGGGGGAGACGAGCCCATTTTTTCAATATATATTGTGTCTGTTATCTATGATACCTAATCAAAATTTTACTGATAATATTCTAATCACCAACTCTAAATTTGGTGGTCTGCTAAAGATTTTCAGCAAGGAAATTTATTAAAAGAGCTCTGTCACCCCCTGAGGTATCAATCTGGAAATCATCATAGTTAATTTCACAGTTCCAGCATCTTTTGAAGGCCAGGAATAAGAGAACCAAGTGCACTATTCGGACATACTGCCGTAACTTGAGAACCAGGGAACATAACTTTATGAAATCTCGTAGTAGTTCTAATGCTTTTGCTATGGGTATGTCCTGAAAATGTGATTGAATAAACAAGAAAGTTTGTATCTGATGGTAGCCTCTCCCCTTAACTCTTTCGTTACCACAGCTATCCAAATCGATCACTGGTGATCGGCACTTTGGACCATCGTTGGCATGTTAAATTTATTTCTGGGGCACCCAGCACTTTTTAGTAGTAAGTTCAGTAACTTAACGTTCAGAATAAATTTGAGTTTGCCTGGTTTGGCAACATGGTGATTTTTGAAGACATTTGTGCTAACCAATGCGCGTGTGTTGTTGAAAAAAGGCACATAGCTGGTGAACGTAAAAGAGGTGCGGGCCCCTCGTGCTACGCTACAGTAACATCAAAGTTCTGTAATCAAAAGAACGTTTGCAAGTCAAATATCATATTAAAGCGTCAGCTTCGCAATCTGAAAGTGTTGAGCAGTAATAATTGCCAGAAATTTATGCCCGCTGTTCAATAGAGAGCTGTTGCTCGGAGGGAGAAAAAATTCATTCTGTAAAAAATATTCATGAAGGTCTGCCGCATGTATAAAGTGTGGTGGTGGCCTCGTCAGTCAATTTCCAACAGCTTCAGTTTGGCTTGTATTGTTATATCAGATACAGGGTGGCATCTAGTGTCACTAGTCGCTTCTATGGCGGCCACGTTACGCGCACATCGGTGTGCATCTGCGCTGCAAAAAAAAAAAAAAAAAATGTGCTGCTCAAAACTGTTTTGCAACCATACCTGAACTGAATGAGGATGAGCTTACAGTCCAAGGATGACAGCACCTGCAGTTGTTTATGTGTTTGCTTTCTTTACGACCTCAAATTGTCTCCTCCGCTGCGAGTGCGTAGCTGCTGACCTTTCTGCGCAATCCTATAGGTATTCTGGTTACTTGCAAGGTTCCCAAATTACTGGGGCACGGTGTGCTGGTGCAGGCTGCAGAGCTTCTCCTCGCGACAAGAAGGCGACCGGAGCACATCTCGGCCCTGACTACGGAGCAGCGCAAAATGTTTTAGGACTGCATGCGAAATTGTTCTTTCTTTTAATATGATGAGCAAAAATTCAAATTATTATGATTGGATGCGTGTATTGGAACGCCAACCTGTGCTTAGTCAAGTGGCTCATATAAAAAAGTGGCGCTAAACAAAATAGCGAAATTTCTTGCACATCTGATTTATCGAGGGATTATTCATATCAAAGACATCCATCTATAGTGGAACACTTGCAGGCTTTTATTGAAAAAAAAATAAATGACTGAGAAAAGTGTACAGGTTCACTTGTGTCTTTCGAAATACCAAGCATTGTTTCACTGCGTGGCACGAGCAACCAAGCAGCCCTTTTGTTCTGATTTCCTTTGTCTATATGAATAGAAACATTTCATACGATTTTTTAGACTGTTCCTCGGTCATTTATCTTCAAAATGTATATTTTCAGTTTTTTATATATATTTGCATATATAGTGTTTTTTGTGTCACTGTTTACCAGCTGGGAATCAAAAATGTCACAATTCTCACATTTTTATTCATTCCAAAATTAATTTGTGCCCGAAAACATATATATTTTAGGGAAGAGCATTTCATTGTAGAAAATTTGGTAGGCTGCAATGCGTGCTGGAGTACTTTTCAAACTGGCAAAAACTATTTTACCGAGACTTATGAAAAAAAATAGCCATTTTTATGCAGTATCGAAAGTGTCGAGGCCTGCACCCTGAACTTGAGAGCAGCCGCCATAGCCCGACCAATAGAACTTGTTTGTGTAATGTCAAGGGTGTGGGTTCTGTTCCCATTGGTAAAAAGTTGCTTTTTCATCCACTTTCAATTCCTGTTATCCTTTAATTACTAGCACACTTCAATTGAAAAAAAAATTTGACAGGTGGCACTGTGTAACAACTCAAGATGACTCGCGTTCAGTATCACTGACAGCTGGCTGATTTGGTAAGGGTTCAGGATTGTGAAGTGGCGCAATGAAAAAAGTGCAACACTGACGATTTGTCTTAATGTCATTTTGCTTGTCAATTCTGCATGTTTCTTCATCGTTTCAAATATTGGAATACAAGAAGGCATTGTTGCACTCATGTATACACAAGTTTAGCTGTGCTGAGCAGTATGTATTCACGTCTTCGGCTCTTTGTTGTTCTGCTTCTTGCTTCTGTTGCGCAGTATTGTCTTGTTGTCAGCATCATGCCTGTACAGATGCAGAAGCACTAGCAGCGACACACACTTTTGCATACCTGCCAACTCTTCTGATTATCCCATAAAATGTACGAATTTTGACTGCGCTTACGATTTTACGAATCTAGCCTAAAATTTTACAAAAAATATTTCATTTCTGATTTAAAAAATAAAATTAGTAATTAGTAAAATTGCATGGCCTCTGCGTTTGGCCACAGCGCATTGCCGTAGCTAGTCAAGGAGGCCACAAAAACAGCATTCTGCTATATTCCGCCACCAGGAGAAGACAATATGTAATTGTGTTATCATGATCACATACCTGCGAAGCCTCCCGCATTGTCCGGGAGACTCGTGTATTTAAAACGTCTCTCCCGTTTGTACGGTTGCCATGAAAATCTTTCCGAAATCGAAGTTTGTGTGCTAGATATGGCAGCTATGACAAAAATGCAGGTCAGTTCGTTCCAGGCATTTCGCGAGCCCGCCGCATTTTAATATAAACGAACTTGAAAGGAGTTTATCTAAATGGACAGTAGAGTCTCAGTGATGCAAAACCGCGGCAGATACAAATTCGTGAAATTCCCCAGCCAAATTCATGTGCCCATTGGGCCCGAAATTCGAATGTTCTAAACACTTTTTCTAATCGCGGTGTGGGATATAAACTTTAGTACCGAAACTGTCCAACGAAGGCCGATCGAGAACAGCGTGCTCGAAGCTACGAAAGTACGCTTGTGACCAGCGCACGCACTGTCTTCTACAGTGTGTGTGGTAGTCCTTGCCATAACAACTGTAGACGAAACCACTGTCGTTCTACGTGGTCATGTATTGTGACGTTACTGACAGAACTCCAGACAGAAGGTTGGCAGGTATGCTTTTGCCACAGTGGCGTACTTGTGTGACCATCCCCGCGAGCCAAAGGGGCATGCACAGTCCATACCTTACAACTTTGCTACCAACTACAGTAGACTCGCGATAATTCAAACTCTGATAATTCAAGCTTTCGGTTAATTCAAACTCCATCATTTGGTTAATTTATACTTTTTGCAGTTTCATACGATAAAATATCTGCTGCTTTCTCACTACTATTTAAAAATTGGCATGCTTATATAGTCCTAAGAGTCTAAAAATGAAAAATAAGCACGTCAGGCTTTCAAAGAGAAAGGTTTTGCTAGTAAACAAATGTTTCAAACGAAGCACATGCATGGTAAACCATGATGCTTCTCAACTGGTATAGAGAGCTTTGTGCTGAACTCACATACCCTCTAGTACTGCACACAACAGCCAATGCCACAGCAGCTGTACCTACTTTCACGCAAGTCTGTAGTTGGCGTGCGCTCATTTTTATGCTCAACAGTATGTGTTGCTGTGTGCAGTAAAGTTAAGAGGAGGCATCGGTTGCATGAGCATAGGCTTTTTTGTTTTGTTTTGCAATTGCTCACTGCTGTTTCCACTCCCATTCACAGTGAAACTTTTTTATTAGGGTGCTTCTCATGTCAAGTTCACTGGCTCTCAGAGGGGTTTCTAATACCCCCTTCAGGCGAAAATGCACTGTCTGCAAGTGTGTCAAATTTGTATAGCATGATTCCAAGGCACTCAGTATTATATTCCTAGAAAGAAAGTTAAAGATTATGTTGTTTCGTCTGAGCTTTATTAATTACTATTAGCCAGCATGTAATTAAATATCCTGAATCCTTGCCTAAAATGCATCATCAAATGTTAGGCCCAAAATTCATAAACAGTTTGTTTTTTGGCTGTATTGATTTCTGGTAAAAAAAAGATACTCTTGATATTGGTCCTGGAACGGGGCACGTTGACGGATCATTGAACATGGTGGTGTCTCCAGCAAAGTGATCATGTGCAGCAACGCACAGCACAGTGGATTTGAATCACCGCTAGTTCCACACTCAGGAACCCTGATGTGCATAATTGTACACACCGCCGCCGAAAGGGATATAGACAACCAAGGCTTTGGCCTTGATTATGTCCTCTCGTGTGTTTGTTTGCTTCATTATTGAATGTTCAATTGGGTTTTCCCCATGAATAGTTACGCCACACCCTATTACCCATTTTCCTTGTGTCCTTGTAGTCCTGTTTTTTCATGACAACGATGCACTTAAAAGACACGTGTGGTCGCGTAGGCCACCTGGATCGAGTGCTGCAGGGCCTGGCGGCGGAGGAGGTTCTGAGTGCGTGTGATGAGCACACTGGCCACCCGGGAGAGCGCATGACGAACCCGGCGGTGCATTTGTTTCGGGGTCTGCGCCACCGCAACATGGCTGCCATCCGGCATGCTGCCCAGCGCGGACTGCACCATCTGCAGCAGCAGCACCACGCTTCACACCACCCCACTCCCGGACACCAGGTTAGAAATGGAGATGTTAATGTGAAAGAGTGAATTAGGTCAGATTGATTTATTGCGCTCTGAAAGTATTGTCGTTTTTTTTTCACCACCGTAGGCATATTAATAGAAGAGAAAATCAAGCTGAGAATTTAATTTGAAATTTTTCGCTAAGTTTTTGTTTTTGACATCACTCAAAGTAAATTTTTTCTACTTTGGTTAGATTGGCTCAATGAAATTCATTAAAATTTGCTATGTTAAGCTTGTGGCTATCTTGAAAGACAATGGGCTTAATTGTTACCAATTATAAACAACGCAGGCGCGAGAAGGTGTTGTCAAAATCAGTGACATCACACAGCAATTTTCGCTAGAATTCCAAGGGGATGTCGCCACCGGCAATTTTCTCTTTGCACGTTTTCTTACTTACCAAGCACCTTCTCGTGGCAAGCATGGTGATTTTGGTATTGCGAAAGGATAATTTACTGATAAGTACAAAAACAACCTTTTTCTTTGTTGGTTTCGTTTTCAGCATACAAACTCGAGCTAGGGAGAGGGATAGCTGACATTCAGCCAGTTGGCAAGTGTCTCATCGTGAAGATAGCATTTGCTCACAGGCAGACTCTGCTAAACAACCTCATCACCTCATTGAAACTTATACATACTCACACAAACATAGCACAAACATGTAGAACTTCACCTTGTATAATCTCTAGAATGTGAATTCTCTGCTTTTGCTGAGAAAGTACATAAGCATAAAAACTGCACATTATGCAGTGTAGTTTTGATGTGTGTGTTTTAGCATATGACAGTAGAGCAAGTAAGCATTGCACACGTGAAGTTCCATCTTGCCTGCAGAGCTCAGTGCGCTCATTGCTCATACTATATGGAGACAGTAGTAAAATTTCATTGCGGAGATGATGGTGAAGCTTTGGCACAAATGTACATCATGGATGAAGGGGTCTGTATTCCCCATAAGATATTATTATTACCACCACTTATTGTTGTGGACTCAGCACTGTGCTCGGCGGCTCTCAAAGTTGCTGTACTCGTTGAAAAAAAGTCGAATACATTGGCTTCGAGTGCTCAGGCTACGAATCGTTCACAAATGACGAGTGCCTAATTTCATTGAGTTTCCTAATATACACTAGAACGAGCTCTGGTGCTAGTATGCCTAATTTCATAGAGTTTCCTAATATACACTAGAACGAACTCTGGTGCTATTGTCTATAGGAGCTGCAATGCACGGCTCTTCAGGAAGCATGGGAATTATGGGTAGTAAACAGATTTGTCTAATTTTCATACTTCTGGCCTGCTTCCGACTCCGTGTGTGTTCGTGTGGCTTGGAGCTGCTTTCTAGAAGAAAGATTCAACAAATGTTCAGCAGTTGAGCTTTCTTACCTTATTCTTTTAGGCTTACTATTTCGAATCGGATCACAAAATTGAAAAGGATTCATTCTTTCTTTCAAAACGAAGCCAATACCAGCAATAAATACAGCCACAAGCACGATTTGCCATCTGAAAGTACGAAGACACTACAAATCTGTGTACTACCCATCATTCTCATGGTCGCTAAACCATCGCAGCACCACCACTTCATTTTAGGAAACTCTGTGCCTAATCTGGCAAAGTGTGAAGTCAAAAGCTTTACATCTGTTTGATACACTGTCTGCAGTCACTGGCTTTAACCCAATAATCAGCCAAGTGTCACCTCCTCTGCCTTGCCCTAGACTTGTTCCCAAGAGTCTCCTTGAAGTGTCCAGAAATAAATGGCCTTACTCAACACTAGTTGATTCCATCCTATTACGGAGTTGCAAGACAGAGATAATGATGCGACAGAGAGGACAACAGCTGTATGAAAGCACTGTCCAACTGCCAATGTGCAAGTGGCCTTTGAGTATTGCATATTCTTGAAGATAACCCACTCAAGGAACATTTAAGATACATAGCCTAAGTCATGGTGTGAGCTAGTATATGCAAATATTGCTATGCCAAGTGACTTTATGTCAATGCCTCTAGGCAATGTAAGGAATGTGGAAGTGTCAGCGTCACATGAGGCTGAAAGCAGTGGAGTGCAAGAAATCTTCGGCGTTCTCACCCTTGAGTAGAAAGCCAGTCCGGCTTCAAAACATCAGGCTTTTCTAAAAAAAATTTTGGTTGCAGTTTTCTCATTTCTCCGTGTGACACTAGTGACTGAAAACAAGTGAAGATGAAGCTTCTGCAATGTTTGAGCATAGTTGGTGGCATCGTTTGTGCCTAGGTATAAAAAAATAATAATGGCCACAGTTAAAAATGCGCATGCAGTAGGTGATGATTCCTTTGTGGTTTGTGGTTGGAGGAGCAGGTTATGCGCGAAGTTATTTGTGAGAAATTGTGGTGCTAGCAAATTACGGAAGTCTCGTCTATTTGATGCAGCATGGAATGGGCCATGAAGTGGGCGACAGTGCGCACGCTCGTTCCCGGGCACACCCGCTCATGATCCAGGGGCTGAGGACCAACCCTGTGGATCAGGACAGTCACGTGCTCTTCTTTGACATTGAGGCGCTCATTGGTAGGCTGCATGGATTACTCGCATGACACATCATGTACATCGCACCACAATAGAGTGTAAAACCAAGGCCACTGTACCAGGACAGCTCCTAGTACAGTGGCCTGCATTCTTATTCTGACAGCTTTAAAATAATGTTTATTGCTTGCTGCTGCACAGTTCTTACTCATATTTTGTCACACATTTTGTACAAAAGCTACGGCCTTATATTTTACAGCCTTATTCATGTTAAAAAAGAAAGAAGAAAGAAACCTATGCATGAATTTTCAAGTGATGCTTCTTTGTGCTTTTTTTCACTTGGCCAGTTGTCTGAAGGGTACATCCACATTACGAATGGGATAAGTTGCCTGCATGTGGTGGATGATAAGACTAGCTTAGAATAATGCATATATGGTGTCACTCAAAATATCTGCCCTGGTATCTTTGTCTACCTAAAAAGTGAGCCAACAAGTACAGTGATTTCACAAAGCAAGAAACACGGGAGAAGAGGGCAGGTAATCTGAACGGTTCATACGTATTTGATTAGATGGCTTATCATGAACATTGCCTTTGTTCACTCTTTGCATTCTTGTGTTTGTTTCTGACATTCTTTCCGAGCTCCTATAATCAAGCACATGCTGTAGTCAAGGTTATTAATTTTGATTAAATTGTAATGATCTATTTAATAGGAAGTCATTCATGCTCTGTTTTTGCATAGATAAAATGAAATATAGATAAAATAAAATGAAAAATTCGTTTTTGGTTATGTTTGTTTCAAGCAATGAAAAATTGTACGTACTTTGATGTCGCTCACAAGAAGAGGCACGTCAAACATGGTACTAGTGTCTTGCACAAAATGATCATATGCAGCTGCAGAATGAGGCTAAATGAAGAGCAATTTATTTCACAAGAAGTTCACTCCATCCAAAGCTCAATTTTGCTTTTTCCTAGCATATAGATGATACAAATAGCAAAAGCAAGTGATGTATATAAATATGTGCAAGGTGTCTGAACTGAGGATGATCCTGCATGCCGTGGAAAGGCAAATTGTAATGTTAAAGGACAAGAAAAGGGCATAGTGGATCAGGGCACAAATGCGGACAGCTTATTTAAAACATAGAAGAATGGGCAGGGCATGAGTAGAAAAGCAAAGATAACATTCGGTCATCAAGGGTGACAGAGTAGATTTAAAAAAAAAAACAGCTGCGGTAGGGGTGACAGAAAGTCGGGTGGACAGATGAGATTAAGAAGTGTGTGGGAATAACGTGGCTGCAGCTAGCACAGGAGCGGGTCGCTTGACAAAACACGGGACGATGAATATAATACTGTTCCTGGTGTACTGCTTCACTAGACCATAGCACTACCCTCCCCATGCTTTGTGTTGTTTACACTGCTTCTAGTGCACATGCAAAGCATCCTGTCATGTCCATGTGTGTATTAGTGCCTGCCTGCATTTTGTGCTAGTCAAATGGGCTCATGCTTTTCATTACATGTCACATTGCCCACATTTTATTAACTGAGATATGTAGCACCTGTAAACCTTTCTTAAAATTGTTTTCTGGTACAGAAAAGTATTATTCTGTCAAGTCCAGATTGAAGCTGTAAAAGAATTGAAAATTATGCTTGTACCAGGTCTGTTAGAGAAGTATCCGACCTTATTTATTATTATTATTTTTTTTTTGCGAGCACCTAATGCGTTTGAAACAAGCCCGCTTGCATTAGCCAATCTTGAATCTTCGTGCGCAAACGTGAATTTTTTTTTCGCCTGCCAATAGTGTCAGTCACTGGGATGCAGTGTTTGAGTGAGGTAGTGCGCAGTGCTCTCGTCGGTTTTTCTTTGCAAGGAAAATGACGAAAAAAAGCGGATGACCTTGATTCTAGGTCTGGCGGTCTCCTGCCGCCAATTTCCCATGGGGTGGATACCCTCCCAAACAACTATGAACTTCGTTCTGCCGACCACCACGCTGAAAGTGTGTTTGTAGCTATTTATTCAGCAGGTACTTGGAGGCAGCGATTCTTTGCCTCCCACAGCAGTGGAGCATGCTCAACTATTTCACCAAGACTGTGGTGGGTAAAGGTATGCCCAGGACCTTACTCAGAACCTTATGGGGCTACCTTTCGAGATGAGTGTTCAGAGACAATTTTCGATATCTCACAGCGCAAGGAGGACGCAGACGAAGTATAGAAGACTACACAAGCTATGACTCTCAACTTAAGTTTATTAAAGAAAAGGCACGAATATATACACTGGTCAACCCGCTTCGACAAAGGAACTGCGCATGTGCAGCAGAGCCATTTTCGTAATAACACCTTTTCAGGACATGTGGCGCATGCACGCGCATCAAAAAAAACCTATCTACACAACAGGTCATACTAACAAAAACAGACGTGTGAAGCATCCTAAGATAACTGACACTTCAGAAATTGCACCTCCTTTTCGCTAAGGGCAACAGGCGGAAGGCGTCTGCGTCCTTCTTGCACTGTGAGTTATCGAAAATGAACTACTACCAACTAGCCCAGATTTCTCTTCTTGCCCAGAAACAACCAAGCCCCAGGTCTGTGTACTCCCCTACCCATTGGAAAAAACCAGTGGGTTCCCGGTCGGCCCTGGGAATCGAACCTGACACTTCCCGCATTGGAAGCTGACGCTCTTACCATGTGCCACCATCGCGTTGGCCGCATAGACTGGAGCAGTGCTGCTGCATCAAATTCTGCCAGAAACTGGGTGACAGCCAAGTGGAAACCTTCGGGAAGATCACAACGACTTTTTGGCGTCTACTCTATGAGCCAAACGCAGATTAAGGAGTGGTACAACCAGTTTGAAGACGGCCGCACATCCGTGCAGAGCGAGCCACGCTTTGGTTGACCATCGGCATGCCGGAATGACCAAGTCATTGCCGAAGTGAATGCTGTAGTGATCCAGGGTCATCATGTGACTATCCTGAAAATATACAGAAGAGCTGGGCGTCAGCACTTTCTCTGCACATTCCATTTTGACCGTACATTAGGCAATGAAGAGAGTTGCGACAAAATTCGTTCCAAAACTGCTCATGGTGGAGCAAAAGCAACTTCCTGTTGAAGTCTCACAGGACATGCTGGAATTATCACTGGTGGCGAGTCTTGGGTGTACGGTTGCAGGGTCCGGAAAACCCCATCTCAGTCATCACAGCGGAAGCTTTTCACATCACCAAGACCAAAGAATGCCTGCCAAGTGCGCAGCAGTGTCAAAGTGATGCTGAGTGCTTTCTTTGACTCCCACGGTGTGGTACACGACGAGTACGCACCAAAGGGTCAAACAATTGTCAAAGAGTACTACAGGGATGACCTCTACATGAGGCTGTATGGCGCTAAAGTCTTGAGTTGTGGTCAACCGGAAACTGGTGCATCCATTGCGACAATGCTCCTGCACATTCCTCACACTTGGTTCAGACGTTCTTGGCGAAAAGTCAGGCTCCTGTAGTTCAACAGACTTCTTACTCTCCTGACATGGCTCCCTGAGACTTCTGGCTGTTTTTTTTAAACTCATGAGGACATTGAAAGAAGAGCGATTTCAGACAAGGGAGTACGTTATGGCTGCAACAACAGCTGAGCTAACCTCTACTCCGAAGGCCTTTTCAGAATGCTTCCAACAATGGCAGCACAACTGGGACAAGTGCATGGAGTCTCAAGGAGACTATTTGGAAGGGGATTAGGTTTCTAATGCTCCAATTATGCCAGTTTTTTTTCTACCAAAGGTCGGAGCTTCGTTGATGCTGCTTCGTACATTCAAGAAGAAGCCTTCTCCTCAGTGGTCGTCGACTGTGATTGCAGAGTCATCAGCTGCGCTACCATCCGCACTTCTAGTTCCAGCATTGCAGAGCAGGTTGCCATTGCTCTTGCATTGACGGACGGTGTACATGACACAATTTATTCAGACTCCAAGGCCGCTATCAAGGCCTTCCAGATGTGCATGGTGGCTCCCCAGGTCCTACAGATTATTCAAAAAGTCAAAGACCTCAAAAATCACTCATTGGTCTGGTTTCCTGCGCACCTTGGAACCATTGAGGGTGCCTCGCTCAATCCCAATGACGAGGCGCACTCGGCTGCACGAGGTTTGACTGACCGTGTGCCGGGTAACGCGTCATCTCCTGGGCGACCTGAGCCTCTCTGCTCGTACAACGAGATATGCAAGCACCACTATCTGTCAAGAAGACTGCTGCCTCTACCACACTCCTCGCTATGCAGGGCCCAAGCTGTTACTCTCCGACTGCTACAAACAAACACTTACCTGAGCCCTGCGGCACTGCACACAATGTACCCTGAACGGTTTCGAAGCCCGGACTGCCCCCTGTGTGGTGGTTATGCGGACTTCGAGCATGTACTTTGGGGCTGCGCCTCTGCCAGTCCCCCTTTCACCCAAGAGGAAATGAAGCGACTCATTAAGGCCCAGGACCAGACCTCTCAAATCCTGGCCGTCCAGAGGGCCCGCGCGAGGGCCGTCAGGTTTAACCTGATGGTCCCCAAGTGGGCCTAGCCAGGTGACGCTGAGTTTACTCGCATCTATTGTGGACCGAATAAAGTTGTTTCACTCACTCACTCACTCACCAAAGGTCGGATACTTTTCTAATAGACTTCGTATATTTGTCTATAGCCCAGTGAAGGAAAAAACTTAATGTACAATGATGGAAAGTTTTTAGATCTTGAAAAATTCAGTGGGCTATCGTTACTACCTCCGGTGTGATGTCAATCAGATCCAAAAGATTTTCCAAATACTGTAGAAAAATCATTGCTAAAAGGCCAATGCTGCTGCGTCTGTAAATTTGCTGAAGATCGTTAAAAATTTACTTGATCGATCAGAAAGTCAGCCAAAATCTGAACACTGCTTATGTCAGTCAGACTTTGAAGACTGAGCTTAAGGATTAAGGAAATTTACTAGAATTCTACTGACTTAAGTTAAACTCTGGAAATTCACTACGTAATGAATATACAGTCGAATCTCAATAATTCGAACTTGAAGAGGCCCATAATTTTGTTCGAATTAAAAG